AACTCTTCCAATGATACAATAGCTCATCATGAACATGCTGAATTTGTCCATGGGTTCGCTCCTCCCAACTCAACTTCTCAAATGCCTTCTTTCCCGGTCTCCCCAGCTCCACTGTGCACAGTATCCAGCTGATCCAAAACTCCACCTTCTGCATACTCACCCATACTAAACTTCGTACCCCCATCGCACCAGTTCTTGGCAAGCTCCACTGGCTCCCTATCGCAGAACGGATCAATTTCAAGATCCTCACACTTGTTTTCAAATCCTGTCATGCCCTGGCACCTCCCTACCTCTCTGACGTGCTTACCCCCCAATCCACAACCTGCTGTCTCCGCTTAATTGGCTCAGACCTTCAGCATGTCCCTCGTTCCCTCTGTTCCACCATTGGTGGCCGTGCTTTTAGCCACTACACCTCAAAACTCTGGAACACTCTTCCTCTATCCCACCGCCTTGCCCCTTCCGTCCCATCTTCAGGTCGCCTGAAGACCTCCCTGTTTGACTGTGCCTGTGGAGACCTGCCCCTGCCCCGCCATTGTGCTGTACCACTGTCAAGCCCTCTGGGACACTACCTTCCGTAAGAGGCACTATATAAATGCAAGCTATTGGTGAATTTATGCAGATTTATTGGAATTCGTAATGTGTGCTGATTACAAATGAAGTCACTACACAACAGCAATTACCTGTGAAGTGCTTTTACATTTTTCAACTATACAGGCCCAATATCAAATGCAAGAATTATTATAACTATTAAGTAATTCACAGGTGTTGCTGCAGAAGAGATTCTATCACACAAGGTAAACGAGTACAGTATTAACATTTTAAAACTTTTTAAACACACAGATGCAACAGGGAAATGTTCAGTATAATTGACAACGCTGGAAGGCTTAATGAAGTGATAAATGCACAAGTCAACTGTAAAAGTCTTCCTCAATTATAAATTGCACATTACACTGTTTTCCACTATGTAAATCTTGGAATTCAAGAAACACAGTATTTATTTTTGATACAATTTATAAGGAAAGCAATCACCACCAGATTGTACCGGCTGCCTCTTGACCCACAATGGATCCAACTACACACCTGAATACTCCCTCTCTTCTCCCTCTTCACGGCAGTATTATATTGAAGTCACAAAACCAGCTCATCCCAAATACTATTTGCTCCATCAATCCCACAGCTGGTATGCATTTCCAGCTGTGACACAATCTTTTTAAAAAAATTCTTTCAATCTTTGTGATGTTGCCTTTTCAACACTAACTACTTCAATTGCACAACAACAATTAAGACTACCACTGCTATAAAGCCCTCACAATACTACTCACAGAGCACTAGTCTCCATGATCATTATCTCACATAATTCTGTGCCATATTCAAATGTTTGTGGGAGTTAGCTGCTCCTGTGTGATTTTGATATACTGTGGCCGTTTCGTATTCTGGGTATGAAAGCGAACCCAGATCTTCCAGTTATCAGCAGCACATGCTGTACAAGACGGATTGCATTAAAACCTAAACTGCTGCCTTGGAATGGACAAACATCATGATACTTTCACACAAAGTAACAACCAAATAAGATAGATTTGTGTGCCCCAAAACACAACAGTACGTTATATTGTATTAAAAGACAAAAAACACTGTTCCCTGAAAATAAGCTACAATAATGATGACAACAAAGAGCAAAGTTATGCAGGCATTTTTGAAAATATCAGAGACTATTTATAATTCGTCTCCGCCCCCCCCCCTCTCCCATACCGGGCATGAAGCTGAAGTTTTGTTTTACAATAAGGGCACCACAGTATTTAGTAATTTAATATCCACACTCCAAACAAGTGCTGTAATTAATGGGTAATGTTTTATGATATTCATTGAGGCTTACCTCCTAATTCTGTGTGGTTATTTTGACAGACTAGCTCTGACCATCAAAAAAGTTTATAAACCATTCCAAACTTTCGGAGGAGATTTTTTTAAAATTTGGAACAGGCAAGAGGGAAAAGAAAGAACGGAACAGAACATCACATACAGTAAATACAAACTTTCCAGGAGCTGCAGCTTAGCAGAAGTTTGCTTGATTGCATTTTGGTCTGTACTGAGTTTGCTTGCTAGTCTCAGCTTTAAGGTTCCATGGGAATGCAAGGCCCCAGCCTTCCCAAGGTAAGGAATGGAAAAATCAGCCAGAGTTCCTGCTCCTGATCCCTCTTAAACTCATGGTGGTCAGGACATGGCCCGCAGGACAGTCAAGATGTGGCCTGCCGATCATTCGGACTAGTCTAGTAAATCTTGATTTCTTTATGGAATAAATCAAGAATTTTTGGCGGGGGTGGGGGGGGCTGACCAAACTACTGATGGTGCGTGGTTGTGTATTAGTTAGGTGGGGAGAGATCAAGCAACAGCTGAATGGCCTGTCAACATACATTGCCAAGGCTCTTGAACAATGCCCAATTGAGTGGCCTACAGCGAGCGAACCAGCACCCATGGAATCACACTAGTAAGATGCCAAGAGGCACATGACAATGGGGAGAAAATCAGAAATATAATTTGACACATTAAAAAATGTTTTCAAAAGATCCCAGGAAATCAACATCAGATTATTCAGACATAAACCTTCTGCAAATTCATAATCATAAATAGCCTTGCAACATGCATCAAGGGCACACAGCACAAAAGCTTAAAATGCCACATTTTAAGAGGGAAGCCACAGCAAGGGGCTGAAAGAATAATCTAATTTTAGGATTCAGAGCACAATGATAGATTGATTGTTCAAGTTTTCCTTCTATCATTAGGACATCTGAGCTATACCAAATGTATCTGTGCGACACCAACTTTGAGAATTATAACAGGATTTATTTACCTAAACTGGTGCAAAGTAACGTTAGTCCAGTGGTGCTGAGTATATAAAGGGCTTGTCACTCCAGCTGACTATTACTGTGGTTGTGTGTGTATTTCAACTCTAACACCTCCGCAGCTGTAGGAGGTGCAATGTTCACTGTCAACATATTCCAATAATCACCTGCCTCCTAATACAAGCAGACTATGCAGTTGTATACATTTTTCAGACCAGAATAAAGGATTTGGGAAAGGATCTTGTTCAAATTGAAATCCAAACACAAAGGAAAAATAATAATCTAAGTTAGTATAAAAGAGCAATCCATACAATGTACCCAAATACCATAAATGTGCAAAAAACTGAGACGAAGTGTAAATAAAATGTAATCCTTGCATTTGATATAGTGCCTTATTACGTTGTTGTGACTTCTCAAAGCACTTCACAGAATATATTGTAAAATGAATTGTTTGTATTTTGTGTACGAAAACAACTAAACCATGAATTAAGCATTATAGTACAATTGTGTATCCACCCATGCCTCTGGTATACGACATAATAGATATTACATTCTAGAGACAACCAGGTGCATAACAAAGACTAAAATATGACCAAGCATTGAGACTTTTCAAGGTACTACTGAAATGCAATCAAATTCACACTTAACCCCAACTGGACAAAAACAATACCATTGGTATACATGCAACTCTGTATTTTAAGTACCATTGAGTGAAACCGAATGACAGTGAAGCTGAGTAGGTATGGTAATCCAGTCACATATACACACTCTAGCCTAATGCAAATAACACAATAAGGTATACATAGTAGTTTAGTGGTATGTTAAATTAGGTTACACTCCATGAGCATTTAGTACAGTCACATTAGCTCAAATGCAATGCTCTTGATTTATTTTGGTCAGCCAGGTGTATGACACTTGCGGACACCCATTACCATGCTTAACTCAACACCAATTCACATATGTATTGAAACTTACCCTGTGTCAGGAATGGAAAGCACACTCTCCCTGAAAGAACATACTCTGCTTTCCTAAGTTCGGAGACTATTAGGCAATAGTTGGGGAGAGCCAAGGCTTCACTTATTGTACATTGAGGTGCTACTGGAGATTAACCAGCTATTAACCAGCTGTGGAGGGGTATTTGAGGAGCACGGGTTTGCAGGGTTATGGGGAAAGGGCTGAGGAGTGGGATTGACATTAATTGCTCTATTCAAAGAGCTGGCATAAACTCGATCGGCCGAACGGCCTCGTTTTGTGCTGTACGATTCTATGATATGATTAAACATGCAGCTCGCCATTGAGAGCACTGGTTGTCCAGCTAGGTCCACCCTATCAATGAGGGATTTTTCTTGCAGAGTTAGCATGTGCCAAGTGGGAAGAATCCATGTACTCCAAGTACGGACGATGAGCGAGGTTGGATAGCCTGATATCAGCTGTGCCAGTGGACACACATGGCTCAGGAACTGGACTACTGAGACCACCAGAGGGTGGACTTGATTCTGACATCCTGTTGCCAAACACGTCACCATGGAGCCAGGTCACCTCCAAGGAGGATGGAGAGCTGATTATGTTACTTGTGAACTGAAGTCGTCACCGGAGTCTGTATATTCACGAATATCGCAATATTCACAAATGTACACACTCCAGTTTTGTGCGATATTCACAAAATACTAGATTCTAGTTAATAATAATCCTTATATTTGATGTAGCACCTTATCGGGTCATTGAAGCGTCTCAATGTGTTTCGCAGAATGCATTGTAAAGTGGATTGATTTTATTTGGTGGGCAAAACGTTTAGCTCAGTGCGATATTCACAATATATATATATATACATATATATATATATTCAGTGAGATATTCACAAAGTAATGCACACTCCAGTTCGGTGTGCTGTCTATGGAGCAGTACACACACACACACACACACTACAGTTTAGTGCCATATACTTGTAGTGCAAAACACTTCAGCGCAATGCAAGAGACAACGAGCTCTGCCGGTGCAGTGCAGCTGTACCGATATATACACACGATATATACACACACACAACCTAAGCGGAATGTCATGAACCAAAGTCTATATATACACACACACACACACGGAGTATATATACACACACACACACACATGGACTATATACACACACACACACCCACACAGAGGCCTCACCTCCAGCCTGAGTGAGCTCCTGCCTCAAGCCGCCCGTGTACTCGATCAGCTCCTCCAGGGTCCGGTCGCAGTGCTGCCCGTACGAGGTGAATTTCTGTAAAACTTTATCCAGCTCCCGCTCCACATTCAGGCACTGCTCCATGGCCTTCCCCTTTCCTCAAATACAGAACAGACTGGAGGAGGGGAGAGGAGGAGAGGAGGAGGAGAGGAGGACCGGGAGTCGGACGAGAGAGGAGGAAAGAGAAAGAAGTCGTGAAAGGAGGAGAGGAATTGGACGGTGAGGTGGAGGCAGAGAGGCCCGGGGAGGGAGGGAGGGAGGGAGGGCCGAGCTTTGCTCTCTCCACACCCTCCCTTGCTCCAAAGCCCACCGCCTCAGACGGTGTGGCTGCCGAGCTGCGGGGGGTCCGGGCCGCCCTCCGCTCCGCTCAGTGACCGCCTGGGGTTCCCCGCGCCGCCGCTCACCGCACCGCACCGCCCGCGAGACTGTTTTTGTTTTTCCTCCTCCTAACGGCTGCCGCGACCTCGCGCCCGGCGGAGCCGACCAACTCGCTCAGCCCGAGAGGGGGAGTCAGGGGGCGGGAGAGAGGGAGAGAGGGACGATTCACACACCGTCGCGCTATCACATCTTTTTTTATGTATCAAATACACACACACGCACACGCACAATGCTTTTCTTAAACATCAAAGGCGAGGTTTATTATTAGTATTATTATTATTAGGGGATAAGCACTGAATTGAAGCTGTGAAACCAACCCCCGGGGGCACTCATGAACGGTCCACATCGTGAGGAGGTTTAATCTCCGATGTGCATTGTTTTTATTCGCTGCAAACCGTTGTCCCGTGTTTTATTGTGGTCTGGATCAGCCCCTCTCTCCCTCTCTCTCTCTCCCCTTCGCTTTCACGCTCCTCATTTGGTTTCGTCCCCTTCACTGTGAGGCCCGGGGTCCAGACCGGAAGTGGCCGCCAACGGTGGCGTTCACGGGGGCGGTGACGTCGAGTTCCAAACGCGGAGTTACGTTCCTACGATCGCAACGTGAACGTGTGGCGCACAATCATCATTCACACACACACACACACGTGTACATAGCGCCGCCTCGCGCTCTCCTGGAGGCCGGGTCACAATTGCGGGTGTAAGCGGGTGTTTTTTTTCGTGTAATGGTTATCGTGCATGGATTGGCAGCTGCAGAGCCCCGCCGCACGGTGGCGCCGTTTGTTTATCCGGGAGGTATTGCGGGGCCTGACCTTTGACGCGTCTGTTGCTACGCTACAGGTGAAGCCCCGCCCCCTTGCCCCGCCCCGTGTGTGAGGGCGGTGGGCGGGGACAGCTCATTGATTGACAACTTGACACACCATTGGCTCTTCTCTCTCTCTCTCTCCCCCCCACACACACACACACACCAACCAACTAAAGTGTTGCCCTAATGCAATGCAGCCCAAGAGCTCTTTCTGTTTGGTCAGCCGAGTGTCTGGCACGTGTGGAAACCCATCCCGGTGCTTACAGAGTATCCAAACCCAGCTGAGATCTCCATGCATCCCACCCAACACGTAGAAATCCCAGAGATAGATTATTGGAATGGAAATGTGCGCTCTCTCCTTTGGAGGGAGGGATCCTGTTTAACTCTCTGATTCCAGAGAGTTATTGGGCGCGAGTTGGCAAGAGCCAAGGCTTGGGGACCCCAGAGTGTGTGTTGGGGTAACTGCTGGAGGCTGACCAGCTAAAACCCCATAGCTTGCCACTGAGAGCATTGTCTGGCAAGCTTTCCCGCTGTTTGACCACCTGGGATCACTCTATCCTGTTAGGACTTTGGCTTGCAGGGTTAACAGGAGCTGAGTGGGAAAGTCCTCAGTGAATGGTCTACCATTCCAAGTCTTGCCGATGAGCCGGATTCTCTATAGCAGTTTGGTGGCTACCCTGTGAGAGGGGTACTATATAAATGTATATATTTTTCAAGAAATACATTCGGAGATTTGTCAAAATGCAGATTGCTTTATTAACAAAAAATAACAATAAATTACATTTGTATAGCGCTTTTCACGTCAGGAGACGTCCTAAGGCACTAGACAATCAGAGATCCGCACCCGAGCTGGTGGTGGGATCAGGGAGGATGAAGGGCAGGGTGGGTAGGGGTAGGAGGGTGACCGAAGGCATGGTTGAAGAGGGTCTTGAGATGGATTTTGAAGGAGGCAAGGGAGGGAGCGAGGATGGACTGTGGGATGGAGTTCTAGAAGATGGGGGCAGAGAGACTGAAGGCCCTCCCACCCGCAAATGGTGGGCCAGGCAAGGCAGGGGATGTGAAGCAGGCCGGAGTCCACTGACTGGACTCCACTGACTGAGTGGAAGGAGCGGACAGGTTGGTAGGGGGTTAGGAGGTCAGGGAGGTAGGGAGGAGGAAGACTGTATGTTTCCTTGTTCTTCAATGTATACATCAAGTTTTCTCTTAACAACAACAAATGACATTTGTATTGCGTCTTTCACATCAGGAGGATGTCCCAAGGCGCTTAAACATATTGATGCTTTCTGTCTCAACCACAGTTTCCACATTGTCATCATTCTCTGCATCAAGAGGTTCCTTATAAAATCCCTATCAGATCTACTACTGGCTAGCTTATTGTTATGCCCTCTGGGGCTCACCAACAAGTGGAAAGAGCCTATGATCATCCACCTTATCAAATCCTTTCATAATCTTAAAACACCTTTATGAGGTCCTCTCAATTGTCTCAACTTTAGAGAGATAAAGTGTAAAACGTTGCAGATTCTAACCCCATGTTTGCACACAGAAGCAGTCACTTCACTCAACATTAATTCTCTAAAGTGCTTTGAGACATTGGGACGTGATGAAGTTCTTTCCAGCTCATTTTGCTATCAGCAAGCCAGAACAGATCTTCCCATAAGAGGGAACTATTTTAAATGCTACAATTTCAAATGCAAGGATTATTATTATTAGAAGTGCAAGGATTATTATTATTAGAAATGCTCAATGTAGAAGGAGTGACAGAGTTCTCTTCAGACCTGATAAAGTCTTAAAAACTTATGGCTCATAAGAGATCTATCAAAAAGTGTAAATAAGAGAGGGAGCAGTGAGAAGTTCTGAACCAGAGATGCAGCCAGTATCCAGGATGACATTGCAGTAGTTCTCGGGTTTTGAGGCAGCCTTTTCTCCAGTAATTGACATGTTTTATTTAGTCCCGATTAACCAATCAAACATTATTTTGCAAGGAGCAGGTGGAATTCAAAGATTAGAAACTCCCTGAAAGGAGAAATGATCCCCGGAAATACCAGAGCTACACCTGGATCACTGGTAATTAGAAGAGTGCTCCTTGATACTTGGCAGAATGACGCCTGGATCCCAAGAATAGTAGAAAGATGCCTGAATCTGAAGAAGAGCGACAGCTAGATAGATCCCTGGCAATACGAGTCGTTATAATAATAATACTTGCATTTGATATTTGATGAATCGCCTTATTACGCCTTTGAGATGTCTCAAAGGGCTTCACAGAATATACTGTAAACTGAATTGACTGTTTTTTGGCTGAAATGCAACAGCCAATTGCATACAGGGAGTCTCCCACAAACAGTCTTGGATTGAGTGACCAATTTTTTTTTTAAGGGATTATTACTCCCGGAAAAGCGATCTGCCAATCGACTAACAACCGGATTCATATTTACTGCTAGGTAAAGGAAGGAAGAAGCGTGCAGTAAGAAAACTTCCCTAAAGTTTCGCGCTGCCTGATTTCTCTTGCTTGCGAGACGAGTGATCTAACCAATACACTACAGGACTCTATGAGTCCTGGATCCCTGGCAATAGCAGAGCCTAAAAGGCTTTGGGACCTTTGAAGTGATTTTGGTTTTAAGCCTCTGCTTATTTGAGGATAAGAGTTGTTACTGAATAGAACCAAAAAGGTAATATACATTTCATATACTGCACTAACTTACCCTGATTGATGTGCTGATTGTGGACTACTGGGTTCTTCTCACAATTGGACATCTTGTGTTTTGGAAGTGTAGCGCCCCTTCAAATATGATGTTGCTCTATTTGGACCAAGCAATGTTGCATAAACAAAAGCATGTCAGGAGGATATCTCAAACAACAATAACCACAAAATTACATTTGTATACCGCCTTTACACAGCTGAGTAGAATCCTGAGCTAGTGGTATTGGAGGTGGGTAGATGGGTTGCTGAAGAGGGTAGGAAGGAAAAATGACCAAAAGACTGGTCTTAAGGCGAGCTTTAAAGTGTGGAGGAAGTGGGCAAGGCATTATCCGAGTGACATTAGGCTGGCCTCATTGGCGCTACCTTGTCAGTGACATTAACCTAATGGTGACATGACGTTTTTTGGGGGTCAGCCGGGTGTCCGACACATGCGGAAACCCAGCACCATGCTTAAGAGTATCCAAACCCAACTAAGATTTTCATGCATCCCACATGGAAATCGCAGAGATGTTTATTGGAATGGAATGTGCACTCTCTCCCTGGAGGGATGCATCCTACATACCAACATCTGAGAATATTAAGCACAGGTTGGTAAGAGCCAAAGCTTGGGGACCCCAGAGTGTACGTTGGGGTACTGCTGGAAGCTAACCAGCAAAAATCGCATAGTATACTTGCCTTTGAAAGCACTGTCTGCAAACTTTCCTGCTGCTTGTTTAGCTAGAATAATTCTATCTGTTACAGCTGACTTGCAGGGTTAATGGAAGCTGAGTGCTCCCAGTGTCTGGGCTGCCCTTCCAAGTCTTGCTAATGAGCCAGGCTCGCTGTGCTGTCATTAACAGTGCGCTGGAGTGCGGCGGACCTGCCTGGCTTACGAACCGGATTGCAAAGACCACCACGGAGAGTTAACTCGGTTCTGACATTCCATTGTCAAACATGTTACCTCACCCGGAAGAGGAGTCACTAGTTGGTCATTTGACTTCCAACAAATGGAGATTTGAGCCCTCATTAGGTGAATGTCACTGGCAGACTGAAGTCACTGGCAGTGTGATGTCAACCTGCAGACAAATGCTGATGAGGAAACTCTGAGGCTTGGAATGGCAGCGAAGGTGTTACCCGGAGTCCGAGTTCCTGAACACGTGTTCGTACATCCAAAGCTTGCTTGGAATCCACCTTGATTGGTTTGAAGGTAAAGACACTTTAAAAAAAAACACTTCAATCCACAATTGGCTGCCACATTTCACCCACAAAATATAGACAATTCACTTTACAGTATATTCTGTGAAGCACTTTGAGATATCTCGAAGACATGATAAGGTGCAATATCAAATGCAAGGATTATTATTATTAATATAAGCAGCTGAAGTTCCGCACCTCCGACTGATGGAACCATTGCTCAATGGGAAGGGATGTGTGTCAGAGCTGAGGGCAGGAAGATGGTCACGGTGCTTCTTAAGCATTTCATGCTGAGATGTGTTGCCCAGCGGGGAACTTGCAGGGTAGGGGATTTGTGACGTCACTGTCAGGCAGGAAACAGTGATGGGCCGGCATCACTGGCAGCGGGGTGTCAACCTGCAGGCAAGTGTTGACGTCAGCCTGAGATATCATCCTAACAGGGACATCATCCTCACAGTGACACGAGCCCGCCAGTGATAATAATAATAATAATAACCCTTGCATTTGATATAGCGCTGTTCACGTCGGGAGGACGTCCCAAAGCGCTTCACAGAATATACAGTAAAGTGAATTGACTGTATATTTGTGGGCGAACGCGGCAGCCAATTGCGCACAGCAATGTCCCACAAACAGTCGTAGATTGAAAATGACCAATTTATTATTGTTATTGTTTTGGAGGGATTATTATTAGGCTCTGTGTGGAGTAAGGAAACTTGCCCAAGGTTTCGCCCTCTGCCTGGAATTGAACTCAGGTCTCTCACTTGCAAAGCGAGTGCTCTAACCACTGAGCTACAGGACTCCACAGTGATACCAACAGCCGACGATGCCACCCACCCAGTGACAGACTAACCCACCAGGTACACAGCACAGGCGGCACAGACCGGTCAGGGACACTGCCCCCAATGGTGACAGCGTCTTGCCGGTGACGTCACGCTTGCGCCTTCTTCCTCGATGACGTCAACCCGTCCATCACACAGAGCGCGCAGGGCGGAAGTGGGGAGGCGGGATCTCCGGGGTCGGGTTGCGTGGTTACGGGGGGGTGATGGACGGTGGGGCTGAGGCGGGCGGGCGGGCGCTGTGACCGCGGCGGGGGCGGGGCGGGGCGGGAGGAGGCGGAGCTCGGGGGGGGGGTGGGGAGATAGGATAGGCCGGTGGCTCAGCGCTCGGTGTTGAGGGCGGCCGAGAGCGAGGTCCGACACCCGCACCCCCACCCACCCCGGGCCGTGTTGTTATTTACCAAACCCCGCGCCGCGCCGGGCCTGGGCCTGGGCCTGGGCCTTTTGCTGTGAGCCGCGGTGTGTGTTGAGCAGAGGGTTCATGGGGGCCGCTGAGGGCGGCTTGAGGGGCGCGCGGGTCGGTCGGGGTGTGTAGCCTATCGGGGGGAGAGATGCAGAGTGCGAGTCAGGGGCAGCTGTGAGGCGGCGGCGGTGTGAGTGAGTGAGTGAGTGAGAGTGTGTGTGTGAGTGTGTGTGGCTGTCACTCCCTCCCTGTCTCTGTCTGTCTGTCTGTCTCTCTGCCTGAGGATGTGGCTGAAGCTGTGCTTCTTGCTGCTGTACTTCCTGCTGCTCTTCGTGCTGGCCCGCTTCTTCGAGGCCCTGGTGTGGTACGAGAGCGGCGTGTTCGCCACGCAGCTGGTGGACCCGGTGGCCCTGAGCTTCAAGAAGCTGCGGACCATCCTGGAGTGCAGGGGCATCTGCTACGCCGGCCTGCCCGAGAAGAAGGATGTCCGGGAACTGGTGCAGAAATCCGGTAAGTAAATCACTCGCCCTGATGAATAACAAACGCAAGGATTATTATTATTATTATTATTATTATTATCCTGCTTGAGTGGCGCTATACAAATGCAAGTTTGTGGAGTCCTGCGGCTCAGGGGTTCGAGCGCTCCCCTCGCAAGCGGGAGACCTGGGTTTGATTCCCGGCCGGGCGAAACCTTGGGCAAGTTTCCTCACTCCACACGCCTGATAAATGATCCCTCAAGGATTAAAAAAAATAATAAATTGGTCACTTCAATCCAAGACTGTTTGTGGGACACCGCTGTGCGCAATTGACCGTTGCATTTCGCCCACAATATACACAGTTAATTCACTTTGCAATATATTCTGTGAAACGCTTTGAGACGTCCGGATGATGTGATAAGGTACTATATCAAATGCAAGGAATGTTTCTATTACCTTATGTCTGTGCATTAGGTTGCTGGACAGGTGAAAATGAGCTGGATTCACAACTGATTTTTGTTCTCTTGAAAACTTAAGCTATTTAGAAATAAATAATTTGCATTTTTATAGTGCCTTTCACGAGTGTTAGAATTTCTCAAAGTGACTTCACAAATGCAGTGACTTTTATGTTGTCGTCAAGAGATTTCAAAGTGCTTCATAGGATATACTGTAAAGTGGATTGTCTGTGTTTTGTGGGGGGGGGAGCCTGCCTGCCTGCCTGCCAGTTTGCGCACAGCAATGTCCCACAAACAGCCATGGAGTGAGTGACCAATTTTATTTGTGGGATTGTCATTCAGGACACTGAGGGAAACTCCCATCTCTTTTCAAATAATGCCATGGGATTTTTAACTTCTACGTCAACATGAAATGGGACCTTGATTTAACGTCTGATCGGAAGGATGGCACCTCCAACAATGAAAGGCATCCTCGCCAATGCTTTGGAGTGCCGGATGGCGAGACGCAAATTGTTGTTGGAGTGTCAGCTTAGACTATGTGTTTCCAAGTCCCAACATGGTGCTGGAATCCATAACCTTCTGATTCAAAGACGAGAGTGCTACCACTGATCCAGGCCGACACATCGATTTAGATTGATGATAAAGATCCCATGGCACTATGTTGAAGAGCAGAGTGTTCTCTCTTACCCAGTTAACACTCCCAGCATCATCTGAAATAAAGCTCTCTGCTGATATTCACTTATATTTCAAAAGTCCCATTGCGTTTGAAGTGATTTTGAGACATTACAATGTAAATAAGTCTGCAATGTGTCCAATGATAGTATCTTTGTGGAAATTATGAAGTGTTGGTCTACGGGTTGAATTTTATATCGTGGAAGACTATTTAAAGACCTAACACAGCACCAGTTTAACCTAATAATGGATTAGAAGGGCAAGTTGTCGAAAGGAACAGTGAAAAACTCATAAAGGGAGAGGCGTGGAGACAAAGTAAAACAAAATGTAGTTAAAAAATCCCTGGAAAATTAATACAGCAACTGACTCAAACCTCCTGTTCTTGTGGTTAGTGTCAGCACCAGTTTATTTTGTACATAGTAACACTAGGTTAGTAATGTAGAAAACACCCTGCCAAATTCCACTTTCTATTCGTCACCTTTAGCCGTGTAATTTGAAAGTAAAAAGGTCTGCTGAAAGGATTAACTGCCACCATGGAACATTGGAATACGTTGTTTGGATTAGATTGTAGGTAAATAGAAATCATTTGAGGTTATCCTGGGAGTAAGTAAGAACCCAGTTGTTAAGTCAATTGACAGATTGCTTTTCTGGGGAATAATCCCTTCAAAAAAATAATAATTAAAGCATTCATAATAATTTGGTCACTCAATCCACGACTGGTTGTGGGATACTGCCGCCTACACAATACACTCAGTTGACTTTACAGTATATTCTGTGATGTGCTTTGAAACGTCTCAACAACATGATAAAGTGGTATCAAATGCAAGGATGATTATTATTATCTAGTCATTCAGTTTTGCTACTGTTGTACATGTTTGGTAATAAAGCATATGGGTACAGCAGCTGTCTCAGGTAAGTACCTGTTTCTGTTCAGCTATATGGTAATCATTTATACTTTGCTTCACTGTGATGACCACAGGGAGCTAACTTAATTTGCTTTGAAGTGATTGCACACACGGGAGCCTTTCTGTGTTGAAACCCCAAAGCAGATGGAATTAATTTACTTCTCCTCTCCCCACACACATCGATAGCCCAGAATCTCTCTCAAATTACAAGTGTATATCACACGTTATGGATTTAAAATAGTCTCCCAATTATTTCCAAAATGAAGATGGTAAAGTTGCTGTAAGAAAATGTTAGGTTAATTGTACAATCGGAGCCTGGGGTTCAAGATACTGTAGTGTGTCATTTTTATATAGGAATGTTATTTAGTCTTGTCATTAGAACAATAGAAATATGAAAGATTGTCAGTAGAAATGAAGCAGTTTAAATTTTTTTAAAGCTTTCCTTCTGACTGATTTCTCTATAATGCTTGTGGATGAAATATGGCAGCCAATTGCAGATAGCAGTGTCCCACAAACAGTCGTAGATTGAGTGACCACATTTTTGCGGGGAGAGGGATTATTAACCCTGGAAAGCGATCCGCTAATCAACTAACAATCGGGTTCCTGCTTACTGTTTGGTAAGCAGGTGTGTAGAGTAAGGAAACATGCCGAAGGTTTCGCACCACCCGGAAGTCGTACCCGGGTCCTCTCGCTTGCGAGGAGAGCGCGCTAACCATGCTACGATACGGGACTCCATGATAAACTCCACTCCACTATAAAAACACAATCAGGTTTACCTGATGCCCCTGATGTGGTGAACACGCCTACTGACGCTTGCTCTCTGGGCTTTTCATATGGAGAATGCTATTTGAGAGAGGTGCCACAGAAACCATATTCCTGCCCATGAAACCATATCCTGGATGGGGCAGTGGCCTTCGTGAGATGATGGGGAAACAATCCATACAGTTGCAGTCTATTCTGGGCTAGCCTTTTTGTGTTAATAATAATAATAATCATTCTTGTATTTGATATAGCGCCTTATCACATTGTTGAGACCTCTCAAAGCGCTTCAGAGGATATACTGTAAAGGGGATTGACTACTTTGTGGGTAAAAGGCGGCAGCCAATTGCACACAGCAGTGTCCCATAAACAGTCGTGGATTGAGTAACCACATTTTTTAAAGGGCTAATTACCCCCCAGAAAGCGATCCGCCAATCGACTAACAACTGGGTTACTATTTTTACTGCTGGGTAAACAGATGCCTGTGGAGTAAGGAAATTTGCTGAAGGTTTCACCCAGCCCTGGAATCGAACCCAGGTCCTCTCGCTTGCAAGGCGAGCGTGCCAAGTTCACTGTGAGAGAATTGTTGACTTTGTTTTTAACTACAGGTGATTTGATGGAAGGTGAGCTTTATTCTGCACTTCGGGAGGAGGAATCCTCAGACTCTGTCACCAGCACTAACTTCAGCGGTGAGATGCATTTCTACGAGCAAGTGGAGGACACTAAGGATGGGATATGGCTTGTCCAAGTAATGACTTTTTTTCATCTTAAAATTCATATAAAACGTTTGAACAATTTTATGTGAAATGGAGAGAAGAGAGTAACACTAAGAATGGTTGGATATAAAGGGTGCGGGCAGAGAGGAGGAAGGAGCTCAGAAGAGCTCTGTGTTTTCAATATGATAATGTCACATGCCAGTAACATGGATGTCCTTGCAATGTGAATTGCATCATTGGAAAGTATCTTGCCAATGTTGATATTTCCCCCTATAATTCTGTCTCTAGGATCTATGCAGTTATTCATGCAACTAGTCTGTGTTGATGTTTATATTGCACATGGACATTATAGTGCTTTAAGACATCAATGTGATGAGAGATTTATAAACTAGCCACCTTCATTTTGTGTCCTTTACAGAGCTGCTGTAAAACAGCTTGTTCTATGTTATTGTCATAGTCAGGATATGATTTAGTGGTCTGTCTTTCATAGTGGCCTGAGCCATGTTAGTGAGGTGGGATGTTTAGGCTGTCTTCACAGCAACTGTGAATTCTGAAAATTGAAGAACGCCAAACATCCCAATTTGATCTCCATTAACCATTTAACCTTAAAAAAAAAGTAGCTAGAAAGACGATTTTTGCCTCCATTCTCAGCAAATTCAGGGTTCAAGAGCTATTTGGAATATATCCTTGTGACTATAAGGCTGGCACGTGTGAAATATAAATAACCGTTTTGTTTTGGTCAGCCGGGTGTCTGGCATATGCAGAAACCCATCCCCGTGCTTAAGAGTATCCAACCCAAGCTCAGAATCCCATTCATTCCTCCTACACATGGAAATTCCAGAGAGAGATTGTTGGAATGAAATGCGCTCTCTCGCCCTGAGGGACACATCCTCCTTAACTCAATTCTGGAAAGTCGGAATGTATAAGGCGCAGGTTGGCAAGAGTCAGGGCTTGAGGACGTTGGGATTGTGTGTTGGGGTAACTGCTGGAATCTAACCAGCTAAAACCGCATTGATATCACTGCCTGGCAAGCTTTCGTGCTGCTTGTCCGGCTAGGACCACCCTACCCGTGAGGGCTTTGGCTTGCATGGATAGCAGGAGCTGAGTGGGATGACTCCCTATTCCAACATTTCGTTGCCAGCTCAGCTCCAAGGAGACCCCCACTCAAACCCACCCCGGTGGATAATTACTTGTTGGTTGTTCGATATCCGACAAGTGTGGGTTTGAGCCTTCACTGTAGTTACCAGGAACTACTGGTGTAAATTTGCATCCTTATAAATAACCGTAAAGATACAAATGATTGCACACTTGCCAATGTTACGGTTTCAGTACTTTTAAAACACAATGCACACACTATACAGAAATCTCTGACCTGAAAGTAATTAGTTAATCTTGGACTTTTCACAATCTGAAAGGAAGGCACTGACCCATCTAATTAAGGTGTGTGAATGTTGAGATCATTTATAGTTTTCAGTCGAGTAGTGTAACCAATTCGGGCAAAGATTAAGGTGTAGTATATTGACTACTGCAAGGAAAGTGTGCAAATTTGCAATGTAGGAACTGTACACGTTAATGTGAATTTAATTTTTGTGTGGGTCAGCCGATCATGGGGAAACCCATAAACCATGCTTAAGGGTATTGAAATGAAATTGAAAATGTCATGCATGTATGCCAGTTACGTATAGAAGTTTCCCTTTTGGCTGGAATAGAATGTGTGTTCTTTTCCCCAAAGGGACACACCCTGATTACCTAATTCTAGAAAGTATTAGGCGCAGGTTGGCAAGAGTCATGATTTAGGGAACTTCAGTGTGTTGGGGTAACTGCTGTTTTTAACCATTTCCCTTCAAAATGTTATTCTGAACTCAGCTTCAATAGTTATTGTGGTAAGGCAGTCCACAATTCTCTGTGTAAAGTAAACAGGTTCTAACTCTCCCTTTTTTCTGGTGATAATTCTCAATTTATGCCTCTTGTTGCTGACATGGGGGTGGGGGGAGGAGGTAAGCAGGGTCTCCTTGAGCTGAGGAGCTCCTTGGCTCTAAAGTGACATGTTTGTTTAAATAGATCCAACTCTCTGCGGTGGTCTCAGTAGTCTGGTTCCTGAGCCAAGGGGGTCTGCAGTACTCCAGGGCATTGCTGATGACAGCACAGCCAGCCTGGCTCATTACAGGACCTGGAGGGGGAAGCCAGTCACTAGGGGCAGGGACTCATCCTATTCAGCTCCCATTAACTCTGTAAGCCAAAGTCCTAACGGGCTGACTGGTCGTACCTGGACAAGCAGCGGGAAAGCTTGCCAGACAGTGCTCTCAATGGCAGACTATGCAGTTTTAGCTGGTTAGACTCCATCCGTACCCCAACGCACACTCTGGAGTCCCCAAGCCTTGGCTTTTGCCAACCTGCGCCTTTTTAAAAAAATTGGTCACTCAATCCAGGACTGTTTGTTGGACACCACTGTGTGCAATTGGCTGCCGTGTTTCTCCCACAAAATATACAATCAATTCACTTACAAAGGTATATTCTGTGAAGTGCTTTGAGACGTCTCGAAGATGTGATAAGGCGCTATGCAAGGATTATTATTATTATTCTTTGGAATTAGGTAAGTAGGATGCGTCCCTCCAGGGAGAGAGTGCACATTCCATAGAAATTTCATGTGATGGGGGAATGCATGGAACTCTGTTTGATTTGAATACCCTTAAGCATGGTGATGAGTCTGCATGTGTCAGACATGCGGCTGACGCCAAAATATTGATGGAATATCTTAATGTTACTTCATAGGTTGTGGCGAAAGATAAAGATCCTCTCTTGGGCAGGGATCGGTGGCACAAGATGGTGAAGAAAGTATCTCAGTTTGGTATACGTACAGGAACTTTCAATTGCTCCAATGACCCCAGGTGAGATCTATGAAGATGAGTTTATCTAACCACTGAAGAACATGTTTGTATTCTCTCTTGATTTTAGAGTTCAGATGGCTTCTGCATTAGACTTTGGTAGTTCCTACTCCATTTTATCTTAGCAGTTATGTTAACTTGCTTGTTTTGTGAAACAGGTGCATAGTTATAATGATAAATATAATAATAATCCTTGCATTTGATATAGCAGCTTATCACGTCTTTGAGACGTCTCAAAGCACTTCATAGTGTAGTGATTATATTTTGTGGGCAAAACGCGGCAGCCAATTGCAGACTACAGTATCCCACAAAAAGTGGTGAATTGAAGTAACCAAATTATTATTATTATTTTTGGGAGATGGATACACAATGTAAGAATAGTTAGTGTAGTGTTTTATTTATATTGTGATCTGGTAACCAGGAAACTACTGCTCCTTACAACTGTTTCTTGTAAATCTTGACCATAGTTTAACTTTAACTCTTGTTTATATTAGTGATATGTGGAATACAGTGAATGCACGTAGTGTGTTTTAACACATCTAAATAACACAGGCTAAAGCCTGTTATGTTACTATGATTAAGGACTTCTTTTAAGGACTGTCTGGAGGTTAGTTTGAATCCCGTTGAGACTGAGGCAACAAGGTTGCATCTATTTATGGCATTGTTTGTCGGTTTTAACCTAATGCTTGGTTGCCAAAACCACATCATCATACATCGCAGCCCTGTTGTGCAATGAACTATTGGTTGGAGGGTACAGAATGCTTGCTAGTCTTGTCTAGCTTTCAAATACTTTGCATTAGACTTTGGACTATCACTAATGGACAGTTTAGAATTTAAGTGGGAGAGTACCTCAAAATCATTACTAAAAATAATAATAATCCTTGCATTTGATACAGAGCCTTATCATGTCGTTGAGACATCTCAAAGCTCTTCACAGAATATACTGTATACTGTAAAGTGAATTGACTGTAAATTTTGTGGCCAAACGCGGCAGCCAATTACGCACAATAGTGTCCTACAAACAGTCGTGCATTGATTCATCCAAACAAGGCGCCCGGGAAGCGGGTTGGGAAAGAGGGAATTTATTTTGGCTTGTTTTGTCTCTTCCCATCTTCCACTTGCTCACAATGGTCTTTTTAGTGAAAGGCAGCAAGCATAGCAAGAGGCTAGGAATTTTATATATATATATAAACACAAGTTTATTAAGATATGGAATTTCCTACCAAAAAGGTGATTAAAATGGTATCTTTTATTGCTTTTAAAGGGGCAATTACGTTCAAAGAAAAACAATAAAGGAATAGGTAAAGGGCAGGAGAGGGGAACCAAATGAATAGGTCTTTCAGTGAGTTACGATGGGGCTGAATGGCCTTCTACATTACTGTAAAATTCTATGATTAAGTACTTCTTTTAAGTACTGTGTGGAGGTTAGTTTGAATCCCATTAGGACTGCGGCTACTTTCGTGGTGTAGCTGATTATTTTTTGTATTTTTGTATTGTATTATGTAGAATTATTATGTGATGTGGAGCTGTTTCATGGAGTTAAGTTCATTTGCCAAGATTACCTCAAACTCTTAATTATAATTTCTTAGGAGGAAGTCCACGGAAAAGTATTGAAGCGCCACGTGAAACAAAGCTTGACTATTTTTCTAAAAAAAAACTTGTGGTTGCCTTGGCAGTTGATCTGCTTGCTGCAAAAATTCAACAGCAATTTGGCACTGGGGACCTTCATTGCTTTGCTCCAAAGCCACTGCTGTGAACTTCGAGAGACCTGCAAATCGCAACAGCAATGTTGTGGAGTCCTGTAGAGTAGTGTTGTGGAGTCTGGTTATTAGCGTACTCACCTCGCAAGCGAGAGGACCCGGGTTCGATTCCTGGTCAGGGCGAAATGTTAAGCAACTTTCCTTATTCAGCACGTCTCTATTTATCTAGCAGTAAGTAGGAGTCTGGTTGCTAGTCGATTGCCAGATCACTTTCCAGGGATAATAATCGCTCAAAAAAAATAATAAATTGGTCACTCAATCCATGACTGTTTGTGGGACACTGTTGTGTGTAATTGGTTGTTGCGTTTCGCCCACAAAATATACAGTCGATTCACTTTACAGTATATTCAGTGAAGTGCTTTGAGACGTCTCAACAACGTGATAAGG